TTTTATTGGATCATTGAACAGAACTGTTTGCAGTCTCACTGTTGGAATGTCCACTTTGCAAGCTTTAATCTTGTGACTTGAACAATTATTTCTAAGATGACAATATGTAATCCATTAACTAGTGATTTCCTACTGTTTTTTTTTTTTCTGTAAATCTGTATAACTTGTACCCTTTCTCTGCTTTTTTTTTCTCCTTAAATAAAATTTAAAAAAATTTTTTTAAACGGCTGGGGATGCAGCTCAGTGTGAAGCCAGTAGTGGGGTACGATGCCCAGTGCCCCCCCCCACACACACACACAGGTATGTCACAGCTGTAGCTTCTTTCTGAAATGTCCCCAAAGCCCCACCTGATTCCGCTGGGAGGAGGCGCGACCCCTCCGAAGTGGGGCCTCTTTGGAAGAAGCTTACACAGAGTGGCTCCCCACTTCCCGCCCCTCCCTGGCGTACCTGCGGCGATGAAGCCAGCAGCGCCCCCTGCCGTATGCCCCGCTGCAATGGCTGCGTCACCATGGCTGACGGCAGAAGCACAGGGGCCAGCGCACCGTGACCCGAACTTCCAACACTGGCCGAAAGAACCCGTCCTCCTGCTAAGCTGAGGCCTCTTGTCACCATTACGGAAAGCTGACTAACACGACTGCTTAACACCCACTTCTCCTGCCAGAGAAACTGAGGCACACCGCGAGTGACTTAACCGAAGTCACACAGCTCATAAATGACAGAGCGGCTCTCGAACCCAGCTCTGAATCCAGAGCCTGCAGCCGGCCAGGCGCAGAGCCCTGGCCCCGCCCACCTGCACCCCACTGGGGCGACTCTGCCTCCCCCCAGCCCTCGGCCCGCCCTCGGCCTCTGCGCTGGCTCCTGAGCCCTCCCGCTCCGGCCCCTCGCGCTGCCCCTCTGCTACCCCTCAAGCCCACAATGCCCTCTTTCTTCCCATCTGGCCTTAACCACTAGGATGTATTTTTACATTTGGTTTCTCCTTTATCTTCCAATTAAATGAAATAAAAGGCTGTCAACATTTCTGTGAAAAAGAAGGTAAATCAAATAGTCTGTGTTTAAGGAAAACATGCCATGGAAAAGCTCTTCTATTTTCTCTCTCTGTATCTCTCTATCTCTGCCTCTGTCTCTAGTTTTGTCTCTAGCTCTAACTCTCTATCTCTATCTCTCTATCCCTGTCTCTGTCTCTATTTCTCTATCCCTATCTCTCTATCTTTATCTATCAATCTCCTTCTCTGTCTCTATTTCTGCTCTCTATCTCTCTTTTTCTCTACCTCTGTCTCTGTCTCTCTAACTGGGTCTCTATATCTCTCTTTTTCTCTATCTCTATCTCCCTGTCTCTATCTCTTTTTATCTCTATCTCTATCTCTCTAGCTCTCTGTCTCTATCTCTTTTTATCTCTATCTGTGTCTCTATATCTCTCTTTGTCTCTAGTTCTATTTCTCTCTCTTTTCTGTCCCTATTTCTCTCTTTCCTCTACCTCGCTTTGTCTCTCTCTTTTTTCTCTCTATCTCTGTCTCTATCTCTATCTCTTTTTTCTCTCTCTGTCTCTATCTCTCCAGCTCTGTCTATGTCTATCTCTCTCTGTCTCTATCTCTACCTCTCTCCTAGCAAGAAGGCAGGAAAGCATCTTGCATTCCAATACCCCGCTTGGCTGCCTGAGCATATTCCTCTTTCCTCCTGTCCTCACTCCTGACTGTGGCCCCCAGGAGCAGGCAGCACCTGAGCCCTGGATAGTAAAAGTCTCTGGATCTTTCTGCCCCACTCTGCTCACTAGGCACACACTTCTCGGCTCCAACCCTTTCCCTCACCTCCAAGCAGAGGCAGCCTTGCTTGTTTGATAAAGTTGATGGCTCTCCTGAATACAAGGCTGTCCCCAAGAGGGTGGTGGAGAGGAGGTGGCATGCTGGTGGCAGTCTCAGGAATGCTGCCCTGAATTCCCTTTGTCCCCGTACCTCCCTGCAGCCTGCCAGGGCCCCCCAACCTGCCCATCCCCCAGCCTTACTCATCGTGGGAAGAAGTGTCTTCTCGGCCAAGCACCTAAAGCAAAATGCACTATTTACATTGTGGGTGCCCACGCTACTATGCTTTCCAGCCCTCCGTAATCCTGACATTTTTATAACAAAATGTTGGAAAGGAGAAAAAGAAAGAAGATATTGAGAAGGTGCCATAAACACAAGCATTTTATCTGGAAGATGAAAACATGAGCCAACTGGCTGAGATTTGCTAATCAGGTAAACAGAAGAGCAGTCAGAGAGAAGAAGCCTGGGGACACCGGGCCCCTGGCCCCTGTTCCTTGCTCAGAACAACCCTGCAGCAGCCAGGACAGGACCCTTACACAGCACCCTACACGGGTGCTGTGACAAAGGGTAGCAGCTCCCTGCCCTGAAAATGTTAGAAGGTGCTGGAGCCCAGACAAACACTTGGGCATCTAACTCCTACCTCCGGGCTCTGTGTTCTTTCCATTCATGGCACACACGAGTGGGACCCCTGTTCTGGGACCCTGGTGGCATGCACAGAGCAGCCCACCTTCAGTGGCTGCCACTTCCAGCAGGTCACTGGGTCCCTCTGAGCTTGGATTCCCCAGCTGTTGCTCCCTCAGGAGGCACACCACCAGGCCTCATCCCTCCCCCTGCCCGGCAGGTGCCAGAGCAGGAAGGAGCGTTAGGAGGAGGAAGGTGACGGAAAGGGGCCAGGACTGATGAGCAACCCAGCTCTTGGGGAAATGCGCCTGGTCCACCTACAGGGTGTTTGGGAACATGATCTCTACTTGGAGATATGTTTTCAACAGAAAACGTCTGCATTTTTAAAAAAACATGAGTCTCCAACATTGTAGGTTTAGTAGTTGTTACAGTTTGTATCTAGATGTCACCCAAGAGCCTCAGGAGCTCACAGGTAGGGCTTTTGGAAGGTGGTGGATTATGGGAGTTTATCTCGTTAGCTCTTAGGAGGTGGGGTCTGGTGGAAGAGGTGGGTTGCTGGGGGCATGGCCTTGGAGGGGCCATTCCCCCTCCTCTCTTCCTGAGCACCATGCTGTGAGCAGCTCTCATCCACCATGTCCTCTCCTATGCTGCCCTACTAGAGCAAGCTGACCATGCACTGAACCCTCTACACACTGTGAGCCAAAAGAAAACTCTCCTTTAAATTGTGGGTGTCAGGTATTGGGTCTCAACCAAAAAAGTGACTAAGATAGTAGTTATAGTTAACTAACCCCATCTGTTCAGGGGACAGGGCACCTCTCTCCAAGGCAAGAGTGACTGTTCCACTCCTAACACAGGGTACCACCTATGTCCGAACACAGCAGTTAGTACAGGACAGGGACTGTCTGAGGCCAGTGTGACACAGGATCACGGACACACTACTTTATCATCCCTGCTGTGGTTTGGATACTGTTCAACTGTGTCCCCAATGGCCCAGGTGCTAGAAGCTTGGTCCCCAGTGTGGTAGTATCAAGGTGGTTTGACTTTTAAAAGGTGGGAACAGCCAGGCACGGTGGCACATGCCTGTAATTCCACATTCAGGAGGCTGAGGCAAGAGGATCGTTGCAATTTCGAGACCAGCCTGGGGTACAAAGTGAGCTCCAGGCCAGCCTGAACTGACTGCATAGCGAGACCCTGTCTCAAAAAAAAAAAAAAAAAAAAAACTGGTGGGAACTAGCATTAGGAAATGAGGTCACGGGCAGGAATTAACGTAGCTCTCACAGGTCTTGCTTCATTCCCTGAAGAATGAGGTAAAGAAGCAAGCCCGAGTCTCTCCAGCTTTCTGTCTCATGTGCGTTCTTCTCAGACTTTCTCCTGAGGACAACAGCAAGGCGTGAGCCCAAAAGTTTGCCACCCATGCTATGTTCGGAACACCTCTACAGCGCCCCCCTCAGGAGGACAACGGAAAGAAAGACTCCCTAGGTGCTTGCCTGGGGTCCTCTGTGATTGTCATCAGGAGCACACAGCAAGCAGAATTTTCTGTCTTTCTTCCTGTCTGTCTGTCTGTCTGTCTGTCTGTCTGTCTGTGCCTGCTTCTCTCTCCCTTCATCCATTACAAAACGCACATCCACGATAGTAGGGACATGAAATTATTTTGCAAAAACAGTGCAGGGAACTCAGTGGAGGACCACTTGCCTTAAATGTGCAAAGCCCTGGGTTGGATCTCCAGCACTCCCCTCCCACAAAAAGAAACAAAGAACAAAACAAAAACAACACAGGGATCACGTTCAGGAAATGGTAGCTTCCCAGTGACCTGAACGGAGAGATCAGGGCTGGACACAATCTTTGGGGGGGGGGGGGGCTGCACATCAATCTCAAGCTGAGGAGAGGACCTTGCTCCTTGCTGGTGTATCTGTCGCATGCCCTCGAGGCCAGGATTAATATGAGTCCTAACAAGTGATGCTGTACGAAGCCCTGATGAAGATCTGGGGTTTCCGATTTTCTTTTTAGCATGAGAGAAGGTCTTTATAATGATCGTGCCTGACCCTCTCATTTTACAGATTGGGAAATGGAGGCTCTAAGAGGAAAAGCAATGAGATGGGATTCAAATCCAGTTCACTAGACTCCTGGTCCTGCAGCCACGCCTGCAAACTAAACTAGGAATTAAACACCAGTGGCTGCAGGCAGGCTGCGGGGAGCCCTCCCAAGACAGGACGGTTTCCTGCCTCTCCATCTGTCTCCAGAGACCCATGCTCCCTGCAGATCACGAGTGTGGGGGGAGGCTCTGGGGTTGGAGCTGCTTCACTACAGACGGAGTGGGCCATGGCCAGCAGCCAGAACTGGCCCCACTCTGGGAATTCTGGGGCGGGATGTTTTGGGGATTTGCTCCCCACAATGAGGGACCGGAAGTGAATTTCTGGAAAGCATGAAGGCGCAAGCAGGCGGTGACACTTGTGGGTGGCAAATGTGCAAAACAGGCAGAGAGGACACAGGGCAGCATGCAGAGGGACACACAGACAGACCACACAGAGGCGCTGGTGTGAAGGCCAGGAGCAGCGAGGTGGAAATTAGAGAAGAAAGGCTTACTTCAGTAGTTTGATATTACACATAATCAGCTCCTTCCAGTTAACAAAAATCATAGCAACCTCTTTCTCTGTCAGCAGCTCAGACTCCATCAGGGGTTTCTGAAAGATCTACAGTGCAGAAAACGGAGCAGTTCAGAAAGCAAACAGTTAGCTCAAAATCCACGCGTGCGCACACTGGTCTGTTTAGAGCAAGGGACAGGACTCAGGGTTGCAACTTGGCCAGACTGTGCAGATGGGAGTGTCCCTGCCAGCGCTGTGTTATTTTCCAAAGGAGGGAAGCCAGGTGAGTCTCTGGAGAATGGATCCTTGCTCCACCAGGAAGAAGTTGGGAGCCAGTACACTGTCATACAGGCCAACTGGGCTGCCACCTCCCACAGGGAGGAAATAGGGGTGGGGGGCGGGGTGGGGGGAAGGTGATGAGCCTGCAGCTTCTGCTGCCTCTAACAAGCAGCTTCGAAAGGGCTCTTGGGATTGACTCCATTGCTTTGCCTCAGCCTCCTGGGCTGGTCATGGACACAGCCGGTACTCACAGCGGGCAGTCAAAGGGGAAAGGTGAAGCCCTGCTCCTGTGTGCTTCGGCAACTTGCAGTAAACATCCGATCTCATTGTGACCCTCACTGTGACAAGTGGAACTGAGCCTCCTACTTACAAGGCTCCCCTATCTACAGTCTCAGGGGGCAGAGGGGTCTTCAGAAGCTTCTTCAGGGATGGGGGCAACAGCCCATCTTTGACATCAACTTGCTCCCTGGGAGCTCTGTTCCACGTGTCCTTACACTGGTGTCGAATCAGGCATATCGCAGGGGTACCATGTTTCGTATCTAAGGGGGAGACCCATCCTGGACAGCCTACACTGTCTACTTAATATCTCAAGCCACCTTTTTTGAAGTTGTACCATTTCCCACGTGTTAATGGTGGCCTGTGGGCCAGTAATCCAACCCATACTCTTCGACACCAGCAAGCTAGCCGTTGCCTCACGGGCGTCAGGACTATCTGACAAGGCGGGAAGGAGGTGGCTTCCAAACCACTATGGGATTTTTCAAATTGTAGACTGACCCTCTGGTACAGCTCGGCAAATTTGCTTCCTAGCATGACAACTGCCCCTGTGTTAGGCTGAAAGCTTGCTTTTTCAGCAGCCCAACTCTGCACTGCCCCATCCTTCTGATTAGGGTAGAGGATGCCCTTTGATGGCCACCTGGGGGGGAGCAGACCAGAGGAGGCATCCTCCCAGGCCAGTGGGGCTCATAGAGGAAATGCCTTCATGCTCAGGGACAGGCGGACACACCAGCAAGCTGGTTGCCATTCCCAGATGCCAACACTGAGGGTCAAGGGCGGAAAGTGACCAGCTCTATGGCACCAACTAACTGGTAAATTGCCACCCTCATCCACATCCCCTCCCATCAACTCCCCTGGAACTCCCATACCCACTGGCACAACAGAACTCTGCCCCCACATGGGTGTGACTCAGAGCCGGGCACAGAGAGGACGTGACCATCTCTTCTCAGGGAAGACCTTCTGTCACTCAGTGGCCACATACTCTCCTTACGTCAGAGAGCCCTGGACCCAGTTGTCTATGGCAGGGCCCTTGTCTCTCACTGCAGTCCCCATCCCTGGCCTCCCATGACTGTCATCACTACCTCTGTGACCAGCTGCAGGTCATTCACGTAGTTCTCCTCTGTGACAATGAGTTCGTGGATGTACCCTTGTCGTTTTCTTTCAGTAGGCGTCAACATATCCAGGAGGTGTAGGTCAGAACACCCTGGAAGACAAAATCATCAAGGACAATTAATCTGGGTCTGGGGACTTGACAGCTTCACAGTGAAGACCCTCCAGGTCCTCAGCCCAGTTGAGCAGTGTTGTAGGTTGAACTGTGTCCCCCTAAGGTTGTACTGAAGCCTTCACTCCCTGTACTTATGACACTTTCTTTGGAATTAGGGCTTTTGTAGATGTCACCAAATTAAAACGAAGTCACAGAAATGAGGGTGGGCCCTGATGCAGCATGGCTGGTATCCTAAGAAGACAAGGACACAGAGACAGACACAGAAAAATGATGACAGAGGCAGAGATCACAGTGGTGCAGCTATTAGCCAAGGAATGACAGCCATTGCCAGCAACACAAGAGGCAACATGAGAGTCCTGAACAGATCTGTTCGGGGCCCTAAGAGGTGCATGGCTGTGCCCACTCCTTGATTTTAGATGGCTGGGCTCCAGGACTATGAGATAATAAACTCCAGCTGTTTTAAGCCACCACACTTGTGGTCATTTGTCATGGCAGCCCCAGAAATGAATATGGGTAGCACATTCCTGCTTTGTTCAAACCACAAAAATGATGCTGAAAAGCTTGGTAACAATGGGCCACCATTTCCCACTTTTACACTGGTCACTGCCTTTAATTCCCTGCTATGATACTAGCATTATTCCCATTACACAGATGAGGAAACAAAGCCACAGAGAGATGGACTCATCGCAGATTTCAGCTCAGCAGTGCTGAGGTCTCAAGAGTTCAACCCTGAAACTTCCCTGGACCACCCCTGCTAGTCCCAAGCCATAGGAGGGCACAGAGTTATCCTGTGGTTGGTTTTCGAAGAAGATGGCTGTGCTAAGGCTCCCAAGGGACTTAGGGACCAGAAAGATGCAGGACACATCCAGAGAGAGCTGGGAAACCTCTCCTGGGCAAGGTCACTGCTGAGCCCTCTACAGAAGCTGAGTGAGAGGCGCCCCTGTGGCAGTAGACAGCTCAGCGCAAGGTCCCTGTGGAAGCCAAAGTTGCCCAAGAGAATGGCTACCCCATCGTGCTGCCATGGGCCCTTATCTCTGCTCACTTTGCTTGTCCTTTGGAGTTTGTGGGCTTGGAACATCTGCTGCTCATTGGCCAGGTTCACCCCTGCCCCAGATACTCTGTATTATAGGAGGGAGAAGCTCATTTCTCCAAAGCACTCCACATGCAGGACTTAGCCCATCTCTCCAGGCCAGTGGTCGTCTCCTTTTTTTTAAATTAGAGTTTCTTTATTTAATTGTACAAGTCAGATTTGTAAAATAGACTAGGAGGTGTCCAGGATCCACCTAGGGCTGATTCCCATTCATTTTCATTTCCCGTCCTCTCTGCTTCCCACAAGGGGGCGCGATGGAGCACAGTGAGAAATTTCCCTTGCAGAAAATCAACAGTTCTCAACGTGTGGCCCCCCAGATCCATGGTGTCAACATCCCCTGTGGGCTTGTTAGAGTCCTATGTTACCAGGCTCCTAGCCAAGTTGGCTCCTCAGGGCGAGGTCTGGAAATCTGACTAACAAGCTCTCCAGGTAAGACTTTAAGCTTTGCTAAAGTTTGAGAAGGCTGCTCTGGACAGCCAGGGATTCCTTGAGATTCCATCTCCTTCCCTCAGGGAGGCTTTCTGGGCTCATGACTGAGCTTGGCTATGTGCTGGAAGCTTCTTCAAATAGAACGATCCCTCTTGGGCACATGACATCACAGATTCTTGGCAAATGCCTCAGCTGCTTCAGAGATTAGCTCTGGGGCTGCCCAGCCCTGACTTTGTTCTCGCTCCTTGCCAATCACTGCATAACCTCTCCTGTTGGGAGAGGAACATCTCAGGACAAGCAGGAGGATGTCGGGAAAGCAGCAGTAGTGAGCACCCTCCACACCCTCCCGTCTTGGACCTCACGCAAAGGCCACCTGGCAGGGCCAAGCTAGACTTCTCAGGGCCGCAAGGTGAGCGTGAACACTGCACAAAATGCGGACGGTTCTGAACCTGGGTGTCAGCTCAGCTGTGGTCCAGCTCTTCTCCTTGCCCTGAGGTGCTGATAACAGCTGCCTTAGCAGTGGGCTCTGGGGGTCTCCCTTTCTGAGCCAGCTTCTGCCCAGCTGCTGTGTGAGCTCAGGGTTCTGGAAGCGAGGGCTTCCCTGAGGTCTTCAGCGTGCCTAGCAGAAACACCCAGGAAGCGCCTCTGAGTCGTGGGAGAGGCACATACAGTTGCTGCACTATTTTTACCACACCGTCCAGATAAAGAGAGGCCGTGGGGCTCCGGACTCGGGCCATGTCTTGTCCAAGGGCCATATCCAGCCCATGCATTGGAGCTGCGTTCCTCTCTTGGGCACAGTCTCTGCTGAGGTTTTCGAGACTTGCCCTTCAGTGGGGATTTTAGAATACAGTGCAGAGGCAGGTCTGAGTCCACCTCCAACACATCAGCACTTGTGGCAACAGGAACATCAGGCAAGTAACGGACCCTGGCTGGACTGGCTTCCTGAGTGTCCCTTTAGGTCACGGTTCCCTTGGTGAAGCCTGATAGATGCTTTAGGCTCCAGACCCCAGCCCACACATGTGCCACACACACAACACACTCGTGCATTTTACAAACCATTTCTTCAGGTTCAAAGGTGCTCTTAAAGCCTGTTCACCTCATTCATTCACTAAACAAACATTTACTGATGTCACACTAACTGTGCTTGGGTGCTAGGAATTCAGGGCAGAAGACAGGTGCCTGCCCTCTAGAACACACCTTAGCAGCCCTGGATTCAGAGGTCCCCAGGTGCAGGCCACAAGTGGTAAATGACTAAGAAATCAGGACATTTCCACAGTAGAAACTGACAACTGGAACAACCAGGATGGCACAGGATTGCACTCAGCAACAAGGAGGTATAAGGGACCTGGAGGTACTCCTAGAATGAGTGAGGAACTAGAAACAAAGATCTGTCTGGGTGACCTACTTGCTTTGGATTTTAGCTTTTCTGGGTCTGGAAACTCAGTGCCAGAGGATTTGCAAAAGGGCCAGGGTAAATCTGGACCACGGAGCTGAGAATAGCATGTATCCAGCGAGAGTCTGGGTGGGTCTCAGGGCTTCTACGTGGCTGCCTGTTTTGGCGGCTCCAGCCTTCTGGTCTTTTAAAAGGCCCAATTCAGAGCTGGCATTGCTAAGATCTGGGTGCTGGGTGGTTCTGAGGTCTTGGAATGCTGGGTGGTCTAGACTTCTTGCCCCAGTGAATTCCACCCCATGCAGGTCCAACTTCCAGCTTTCTTGGAGACAGGGGTCAGCCCTGCTGCCCTCTCTGAGATGCAGAACCTAACAAAAGGCAAAGATTTTTGTTGCTGCTGTTGCCGGGAATTGAACTCAGGATCTTATGCTTGCCAGGCAGGCGCTGTAGTACTGAGCTGTATTCCAAGCACAAAAGGCAAAGATTTCATAAGCAGATTCAGCTCCAGCTCCACATTGCACACCAATCACTTGGACTTGGACTGGTCTTTCTAAACGGATAGGATGTTGCTTAAAACATTCTTAATGGCGAATGCCAGACCAAGAAAACCACAAAAGAGTTGAAAAAGGCATGTTTGAACTCAAAATAACCTTCTTTGAAAATTTAATATTTAGAAAAATAACAATTTTTTAAAAAAGAAACCTCTATTATTCAAAGCAGGATAAACAGAAAAGGCATTTCAAATGAAAGAAGCTTTCACTACGGATAGAGGGACGTGGCCTTTCTGTCCTCTGGTACCAAGATAAACCTGGTGTGCAGGTCCCTTTTCCAGTGAGAAATGAGGGTGAAAATATGGGAAGGATTTTCCAGGGACAGCGAGAAGGGTCCGAGGGAGTCTCATAACTAACTTAAAACCCTCTCCGCAGCCGAAATAATACTGCAAGTGACTCCAGGCAGTTAAAAATGTTCCCTCATTCCAGCCCCATACAATTTCTAATCTAATGTGCCTCAATTCTGTGTAATTTTCTTAAACACATTTACAAAATAGAGCAAGCTGTGATGTCCTTTTGGGAGGACTGCAGACAGGGATGCTGGGCGAAAGTATGGGAAAAATCTTATCCCAAAAAGTTTGTCTTGTCCCCTTGAACCATTCAACCACACTGCACAAAGTAATTTAAATTAAAATAAATCTTAATACGAAAAACAGGAACAAAAGCATTTAGGGTAAAAAATTGGATGTGACTCCTCTCCTCCTCACCTCCAATCACTCTCTTTCCCAACAAGGAGCATAATACTGAGAACCAAACCAGCCCTCACAGCAGGTTGGCCCATGGGCAAAGCAAATAAACAGGCCTAGTTCCTGTTTTTAAAAAAAGAAAGAAATGGGGCCAAAATATATAATAAGTGGGTCAATAAATATTTATTATGTTCATAGGATGTCCAAGAGACACGGTCCATGTCCTCAGGGAAACTCACAAGCCTGGGGGAGACGATGAAGGAAAATGAAATTAAAAATAGCGAGCATTAGACGATGGGCCAGTGGGCTATGCTGATGATGGGGCAGAGACCATGTGAAGCAGGCCCCTCTGTGCTGGTGAGGGCTCTGGGAGAGGCCTCTGCGGGCCACGCTTGGCTATGGCTGGGAAGGGCAAGGCCATGACACTCGGGTGTGGGCACCGACAGCACAAGTGGTCTCCAGGTGCCAGGCGGACACAGACACACTGTAGAAGATAAGGCGGAAGTAGGAAAGGGGCACCTGGCACAGGATGTGGTGCCAACACAAGACTCTGGTGACAAACGCAGAGAAAGCAGGAGACACAACAATATGGAAGCATGAGCAGTGGCTTCCAATCCTTCCCAAGGGCAAGGACTCATGATGTCTCTGGGGACATTCAGCTCAGTTCCCCTTGTGAAATGGCCTGACGTCAGCATCTGCGGAACCCTGGACTTCCTGTCTACACTGCTGGGGTCTGGAGGATTTTCATTTTCTTTTTCTTTCTTTCTTTTTTTTTTTTTTGTACTGGAGATGGAACTCACAATCTAGCGCTTGCCAGGCAGGCGCTTATGGCA